CTATGATCACTAATATCATAAATATTGCATAGCTTTATTTAAAATTAAAAACTAAAATAATTATAATATAAAATAAACACCAACTCTAGTTCTTAAACTTTCAATTTTGAATAATTTTAGAATATTACCCGTGAACGGTGGGAAACCACATTCGACCCTCAAATGAAACATTATTATGGTTCAATTAGCTAAAAGATGAGATGTAATGGAACATCTGTTTACATCCAAAAATATGCCTACACTTTGAGAGGGCTTACAACAACTCTTTTCTCTATTCTCAGTTACCAGAAAAAAAAAGGGCAAGGGAAGTGTTCTCATCAACAAAATACATTACGGTTTGGGGACACAGAATTCCTAATAGCTTAACATTTCATATTTAAACCAAATTCCTCCAGCGCGAAGCCATCCACCCACTGAGAGATTAACACAAGAGTCCAGCCATCCTATTCCTGTAACATAAGAGGATACAAAAGAAGATTAAAAAAACAAAAAAGGCATCACCTTAACTCCATTTATCAACAAAGCCACCAAGCTAAAATAATTTTTTAAAAGAAAAACTGATCAACCAGATATTAGACCCCCCCAAACAAATAATAATAAAGGTATCCAGCACTCTGTCCCCCAAAAAAAGTAACGTGCAATGTTCACATGGTATCAACTTCACAATTCATTGCACAAATTCACCTATCTACCCGCACTAAAAAAACTCCTGTTTTTATCTTAATTTCCAAAAGGATAAAAGGTTTCCTGAATCAGAAAGCAATTTCACTGAAGTAGGTTGAATGCCATTCAAGAGAGGAAATATGGTTAAGGCAAAAGGATCTGAAATAGAAAGCTGCATGGCATGTGTGAAGAACTTTAAGAAAAAGAAAACCGGGCAAGTAGAACTGTAGGAGTGACATCAATCTGTATTTTGTCAGAGTATTTGTGTCACCATAGCCAGAGAACATGAAATGAAAAGGACAGAAAAAGGCTAAATAACAAGGTCATCTTTAGTTGTTACATGACATAAATAACAAGCTCTCCAAATTTCATTCCTTCACTCAATTCTGAGCATCCATAAGGGTGTAAGAATCAAGATGAAACTTTATGAAATATTTCCAAAGCAGTAACAATTTGTCTTGTAGCTAAACTTGAGCCACAACTGTTTTAATCCAAGATTTGAGAACTTGACTTTTCAACAACTTACTAAGCAATCTTCAAACAAGAAATTACATTATCATGCTCTGCCTTCTCTTTCAATGTGGTTGGGTCCATCCTTTAAGTGATCTTTTCTAATACAACCCCAGAAAATTTATTTAAGCATACCATATTCTTCAAATACCACTTAAACTCTTAATAATCTTGAATAAGCAAATTGGCAAACAAAAAAAAGATGTTGTGAATATCCCACCTGGACATGCAAGTGCTCTAAACCATTTTTGAAACAACTACCAGGCATCCTAAGGTCTCTCTAAGCTATACACTGTAAAACGGCATATTCTCCTTATTAGCTAACTCTCAGTTCAAGTGCAGCATAGCCCCTTTTAATGCTTGGGGAAGAATTTTGGTCTAAGAAGGGCTATCTTAGCTAAAAGTGGCAAGCATAGAAGAAGAGAGGGATCATCAACCTCAGGACAGAAAAGCATGTATCCGTGGACAAGGAGGAACGAAGGATAATTTGAAAAACACATAGCATGGACCAAAAAAAGAAAAAAAAAAGGGAAGAAGAATAAGAAAAAGAAAAGAAAACCACATAACAAGCATATTGTACCTCTTCCATAGGAGCAGATTCATCCTTCCTCAGTTCTTCTATCTTTTCCGTTTCAAAATTAGGCTCATTTTGACTATCAGAGGTCATTTTATCATCTTTTGCCCGCACACTTTGCGCCCCACTATCGTCACCTGGGATTTTCAAGTCTGCAGGAAGCTGACCAGTCTTCAATGCCTGTCCAAATAAAACCAGTGTGAAGTGTTCTGTTAATATTATATTATACAAAACTTTTCCAAGATATTTTTAAAAAATCTAATCTAACTAAACAAAAGTAAAAACAAAGAATGAGGCAAGAACCTTTTCAAGCCTTGCAACCTCTTCCAGAGTCTGGGAATTCACAATGGCAGCCTGCATGCCAAATAAGCTTAACATGAGCTTCTAGATGGTAATATCCCTACATCTTCTTACGGCATGGAGCTGTCATGGAAGCCCCTTTTGTCACTTTTGATTCTATTCCGCCTTTTTGTTCCTCTAGTTACTCTCATGATAGAAATGGTGTATTGTGGATCGGAACACTTTTTGTAAAACTTAATTTGTTTCAATGAAATTCCCATTTCCACCAAAAAAAAAAAAGCTTCTTTATTGTTTTTGGTATCAAGGGCCATTCTTGAATCTCAGCCAAGTTATGGGTTTCTTTCAATTTAACTAGTTTCTGTTACTGTATGGCATATTTGCGTTCAAAGAAACAACTGTAAAGCTTTTTTTTTTTTTTTTGGTTCTTTTACTAGATATCTTGAATGGGGTTCTTTGGTGCTTTTTTTTCTTTTCAGTTTTTTCTTTCTGTATCTTACTTTAGAATGGTTGGGCCAACCACTGGTAAGGTTTAGACAAGGAGGCAAGATTTCCGCAGCTCCGAACTTTGACCACGAAACAGAGAACTTTAGCCTTAAAATATTGAAAATATTGAATTTCAATTTGAGAGGGCGAACTGATCAACCTGCATGTGTTTAGCATAT